ACGGCCTTGCCTCACCCTTATGTGTGTGTCACCCAGTAGTGCTTGGTTCATGCCTGACCAGCAGTCAACACTGGCTTAACCTAGGAGTCAGATCTTCAGCTGCTCCTCCCCCAACTTTAATTAAATCTTACCTTTAAGACCCAATTGAATTCTTCCTCCTCCAGGAAGCCTGCCAGTCCACCCAGCCCATGGAGTTCTCTCTCTCTCTGCTGTCAGTGTCCATGGTACAAGCAATTTATATTTCAGGTCACAAACTCACAAATTCAGCAAGTGCTGTACATTCTTTGGTCTTTTTTTTTCATTTACTGCCTCGGTGTGAAGGCGGGGATGGTGGGTGACAGGCAACCCGAGTGTCCATGCTGCCGCACGCTACATTACTTCTTAGAATCTTGCACTGAGCCTGACATACACTTACAGCACCTGTGTGACCCCGATGGGCATTGGAACACGAGGCCCTGATGCAAAACATTCATTGTCAGCATCACAGAACACTTGGCACAGCTGTGTTGTTCTCATGTGTAAATAATAATAATAATACTGACGATGGTAACAGCTGACGTTTATGGAGCCCTCACAGTGCCGGGCACTGTGTTGAGTGCTTTACATCCCTTGATCCATTTACCTCAACAACCACCCTGTGAAGTGAATATTGTTATTATTCTCATTTCACAGTTGGGGAAACTGAGGCCCTCAGAGGTATGTGACGTGCCCAAGGTCACATGCAATCAGTGGAGGGACAGGGATTCAAAGCCAGGCCTTACGGTCCAAGAGTCTGCTGGGCTCACACAATACCACAGGGCCACCCTGTGCGTACACCTTCTCTCCCCACTCAACAGGGAGCTCCCTGAATGTGGTCCACAGCCTGGGGGCGCCTGTCCTGGGGGCTGATGTGGCTGAAATTCAGCGCCAGTTCCAAGGCCAGGACTTGCATCCACAGGTTTGCATTCCAGGGGGCAACTATTCCTCTTTCTCCTGAAGGCAACATGCAGGTGACGGGAAGCCTGGAAGACCTGGGCATGGCTCAATTCCATCCACAAGTGAGTCTGCGGCAGCGGGGAAGGGCTCGTAAATACCCTTACATGAGCGTTCTCTGCCTTTTATTACACTCATGCAGCAACCAGCCACCTCCTCCTGAGCAGCAATCATCATCGTTGACGACAATAAGCTCAATCATGGGATATTTACCTGCTGAGTGCCATCTACAATGTACCACGCAGTGGGGGACATGGGTGAATCCGACATGGCCTCACCCGCCAGGAGCTCACAGACCACCAGAGAGACTTGTCACCAGTGCACCTGACAGCCCCACTAAACCGAACACTCACCTAAGGCCAGCCTTGTACTTTCTCTTCATCTCTTCTGTGCAGGACTCTGGCTCTCTGGGAGGCGGTATGGCCCAGTGCCTGACAGCAGGGATCCGGAGCCAAATTGCTTGGGTTCAAATCCTGGTCCTGCCACTTACTAGCCATGCAGAAAAGAGTTAACATCTTCAGCCAGAGACTGGCATCCTCTGAAAGCCCTTCCTGTAGGGCTGGGCCTCAGCGGATGTCTTGGAACATGGATTTTGGGAGGGTTTCCACTATTTTCTGGTAAGAGTGGCTCTCTGTTTTCAAACTGTCTGTGCAAACAGTGTGGCTTAGGCCAAGCATCTGCTTTCCTGCTGGGAGTCTGGAATCCTGGTGTACGCCAGGCAAAGAGTGCCTACGTGGCCAGCCCCCAGTAAAAATTCTGGCACTGAGTCTCTAAGGAGCTTCCCTAGTAGACAATACTTCACATGTGTTATCACAACTCATGCTGGGGGAATGAAGCGTACCCTCCGTGACTCTGCTGGGAGAAGACTCTTAAAACTTGCAGGTGATTTTCTCCAAACTTCTCCCCATGCAACTTTTCCCTGTGCTGATTTTGCTTTGTATCTTTTCATTGTAGTAAGTCACAGCAGTGGGTACAACTACAGGCACGCATCACCTAACAATGAAGAGATGTTCCTAGAAATGCATTGTTAGGTGATTTCCTCATTGTGCAAACATCACAGAGTGACTTACGCAAACCTAGCAGACTACACACCTAAGCTCTATGGTAGAGTCTATTCCTCCTAGGCTACAAATCTGTACAGCATGTTACTGTACTGAATTCTGTCGGTAACTGTAACACATGCTAAGTATTTGTATATATAAATAGATCCAAGTATAGAAAAAGTACCAAAGCCTGTAATCCTAGCACTTTGGGAGGCCGAGGTGGCCGGATCACTTGAGGTCAGGCGTTCAAGACCAGCCTGGCCAATGTGGTGAAATGCCATCTCTACTAAAAATATAAAAACTAGCTGGGTGTGGTGGTGGGTGCCTGTAATCCCAGCTACTCAGGAGGCTGAGGCAGGAAAATCGCTTGAATCTGGGGGACAGAGGTTGCAGTGAGCTGAGAACGCACCACTGCACTCCAGCCTGGGCGACAAAGCAAGACTCTGTCTAAGAAAAAAAGAAACAAAGAAAGAAAAGAAAAACACGTATAAAAGAAAAAAAATACACTTGTATAGGAAATTTACCGTAACTCGAGCTTGCAGGACTAGAAGTTGCTCTGGGCGAGTCAGTGAGTGAGTGGTGAGTGAACGTGAAGGCCTAGGGTATGACTCTACACGACTGTAGACTTTAGAAACACTGTACCCTAAGGCTACACTAATTTATTTATGTTGACACAGGCTCACTCTGTTGCCCAGGCTGGAGTACAGTGGCATGATCTCGGTTCACTGCAACCTCCACCTCCCAGGTTCAAGCAATTCTCATGTCTCAGCCACCCGAGTAGCTGGAATCACAGACATGCACCATCTTGCTCAGCTAATTGTTTTTGTATTTTTAGTAGAGACTGGTTTAGCTGTGTTGGCCAGGCTGATGGCTGAACTCCCGGCCTCAAGAGTGATCAGCCCACCTCGCCCTCCCAAGAGTACTGAGATTACAGGCATGAGCCACCGTGGCCTGGCCACTAATTTATTTTAAAAAATACATGCTGTGCAAGTTTCTTCAGTAATAGTTTAACTCTGCTTACTGTAACTTTTTATATTTTTATTTTAAGTTCTGGATACATATGCAGAATATGCAGGTTTGTTACACAGGTATACATGTGTTGTGGTGGGTTTACTGCACCTATCAACCTGGCATCTAGGTTTTAAGTTCCACATGTAATTGCCTTTTGCCCCCCACCCCCGACAGGTTCCCAGAGCGTGATGTTTTCCCTCCCTGTGACTTTATACCTTTGTCGTTTTTTTTATTTTTAACATGTTGACTCTTTGGTAATAAACACAGCTTAAACACACAAACACACTGTACAGCTGGTACCAAAAAGTCCTTTCTTTTATATCCTTACTCTGTAAGCTTTCTATATTTTAAGGTTTTTATTTTTAAAAAACTTCTTAACTTTTTTGTTAAAACTAAGACACACGCACATTAGCCTAGTCTGTACAGCGTCAGGATCATCAATATCACTGCTTCCACCCCGACACCTGGAAGGTCTCAGGGGCAGTAACAGCGCGTGGTACCCGTCACACATCCTAGGATAACAAGCTTCTTCTAGAATCCCTCCTGACAGACCTGCCTGACGCTGATTTCTAGGTAAGCTTATTTGGATTGATCAGTGGGAAGGAATACACTCTAAAATACAATTAAAAAATATGTATAGTAATTAATATAAACCAGTAGCATAGTCTTTACTATCATATCAAGTATTATTATTTTTTTTTTTTTTTTTTGACAGAGTCTTGCTCTGTCACCCAGGCTGGAGTGTAGTGGCACGATCCTCCACTCACTGCAAGCTCACCTCCCGGGTTCATGCCATCTCCTGCCTCAGCCTCCCGAGTGCTGGGACTACAGGCGCCCCCACCACGCCCAGCTAGTTTTTTTTGTATTTTTAGTAGAGAGGGTTTCACCGTGTTAGCCAGGATAGTCTCAATCTCCTGACCTCGTGATCACCCACCTCGGCCCAAAGTGCTGGGATTACAGGTGTGAGCCACCACGCCTGGCCAAGTATTATGTTTTGGACATAATTGTATATGCTAGACTTTTTACGATTGGCAGCACAGTAGGTTTCACACCAGAATCACCATACAGGTGAGTAAACGCACTGTGTTACAACGGATGTTACACAATCACATGATCACTAGGTGATAGGAATTTTTCAGCTGCATTGTAATCCTATGGGACCACCTTCATATATGCAGTCCCCTGTTCACCAGAATGTCATTATGTGGTGTGTGACTGTACATGTAAGTCCCGTGAGTCACCCTAGAGAATCATCGAAACTGGGGGTGGGTATTGGGGACTCTGACATTCTAGCCATGGGATCTTGAGCAAATTACTAGACTTTAATGTGCCTCGGTGTCCCCATCTGAAATGGCAGAGATTTTAAAATAGAATATGTCTCACAAGACTGTGGTGAAGATGATGTAATTCCACATATGTAAATTGCTCGGAATGCCTGGCACCCAGTAGGTGTTTAAGAAACGTGAAGTGTTGTTACCTGGTGAATTAACACTTGGTTAACACATGAATGACTGAACATGTGAGATGCAAATGATTAAACTGAAGAACAGAAATGGAGAAGTATTAATGGTGAACAGCAGAAGCAGAGAGACCCACCCACACACTGCAGGCTTTGGGAAGATCTGGGTAAACACAATGTCACCAGCAGCTTGACCTAGTGGCAAACACTGGGAACAGGTAGGAGCACGGCTGGACAGTAGCACAGACGGGCAGTGGAACCTCAGCCTGTCCAGCCCACGGCTCACCTGCCTTGCCCATGTGGAGGGTCGTCCAGGGAAACCAGTCAGATAGCCTCAGGGCACATGGGGGACCCAAGAGACAGCACAGAGTCCCAGGCTCAACACATAACTGGGGGTCCAAGGCCAGCAGCTGCCCCTCCCCATGGCTCCAAGGACAGGCAGGACCCACATGGCACAGGTGTGAAGAGACATAGATAGAAGGCAGGGGGTGCTCAGGGCATGTCATGTTTCCTACCGTTATGTTTTCTTCTGCTGTTATGGAAAAAAGCGCTTTCAGCTGTGTTCTGTTCTAGAAGAGGAAAAAAGAAAACGCTTTCAGCAACAGTTTGGGGTGTGACACATGGGGTAACATTTGGTGTGATTTCCAACCTGCCAAGCCTGGAGCTATAATCAGCCCTAACTGTTGCACAGGTCAGAGCTTGTGAAGGTCTCACTGTCAGGGGGAAGGGCATGTGGGGATAGGATCCCTCCCTCTCTACCGGAGGCTTTGTGAAATCCAAACACCAGCTCTGCTAACATCCAAAGAAAGTCATGGCAGCATGCCCTTGTGGAGAAACGCTTGGGGTTGGGGTTGGGAGTTGACTCCAAGCCTGTGACCAAGGTAAGTCACTTCCACTCTCCCAGCATCTAGCTCCTTCACAAAGGTAGATGCAATCCTGGGCTCTGACTGCACTGCACGTGTTCTTCTCTTACTCAAATGCACTTGATTCTCCAAGCCCCAACTCCCTGTGGGTCTATCCGTAATGTCCTCTAATATTCCTCTGCTGAGAAGATACAGGAAACAGAAAAATAAAGTGTGTCATGGTATCCACCTGTCTAACCGCATGGTGACCGAAAAGACCCACCGTGAGAACATACTTCTTCCTGGGGGTAGAGGGAGAATAGCTTGCAACTGACAGGCAGTCTATAGGGTGGTGATTAGGGCCAGGCTGAGTTAATACAGGGCTCCACTGCTCACCAGCAGTTGAAACTTGGGTAGTGTATTAGCCTCTCTTTGCCTCTGTTTTCTCATCTGTGAAATGGTAATCATATTCAGTTCACAGAATTGCTATGAGGATTAACTTAAGTAATATAGAACCCTGAAGAGTGCCTGGCACTAGGGAGTGCTATAAAATATTATTGCTATTGGTGGCTGTAGGTAGTAGTAGTAACATTAGCAGTGGCAGCAGTAGTAGTAGCAATAACAGGCCAGGCGCAGTGGCTCACACCTGTAATCCAAGCACTTTGGAAGGCCAAAGCAGGTGGATCACCTGAGGTCAGCTCAAGACCAGCCTGGTCAACGTGGTAAAACCCCATCTCTACTAAAAATCAAAACTTAGCCAGGTGTGGTTGTGGGCACCTGTAATTCCAGCTACTCAGGAGGCTGAGGCAGGAGAATGGCTTGAACCCAGGAGGCGGAGGTTGCAGTGAGCTGAGATCATGTCATTGCACTCCACCCTGGGTGACAAGAGTGAAACATTGTCTCAAAAATAATAATAATAATAATAAAAATTTTAAAAAGCAATAGCAACAGTAGTAACAGTAGTATTATATAGAACCAGACTGGCTGGGTTTGGTGGTTCACACCTGTAATCTCAGCACTTTGGGAGGCCAAGGCAGGTTTATCACCTGAGGTCAGGAGCTCGAGACCAGCCTGGCCAACATGATGAAACTCCATCTTTACTAAGAATACAAAAGTTAGCCAGGTATGATGGTGGGCGCCTGTAATCCCAGCTACACAGGAGACTGAGAGGGGAGAATTGCTTGAACCCAGGAGGCGGAGGTTGCAGTGAGCCCAGGCTGCACCATTAAACTCCAGCCTGGGTGACAAGAGAAAACTCTGTCCAAAAAAAAAAAAAAAAAAAAAGAACCAGACCTTGGGATTTAGAGCTTGCAGCCCAGTGAGCTCAGCAACCCATGTAATTCTCATTATAGACATGACTAAGGCATGTTTCTGTAACCTGAGCTATGCCCCTCCCGAGGTAACAAATCCCCTGATCCATGCCCTACAGATGTTATGGCAGCAGCACTAGGAAGCAGTAGGACTTCCCAAATCCACTGTGGGCCAGCAGGGTGACCTCATGGAGGCTTCAAAGGAAATCAAAATACTGTAAGTCTTCTTTTCATGGGAGGGAAATGGAACAGTTTTAGAATATGACTGTAAAGAAAAGACACCACTGAGGCATTCATTCACTTTGCCCTTTCTGTTCTTGAGTCACCTCTGCTTTGGAATATGTATGGTGTCTAAGAGTCTCAGGGTCTCTTGAACTGGAGCCTGAGGCTAAGTTCAGAGCCCACATTCCAGTACATTCTGCTGTGTTCCCACAGATACGCAGATAGGAGCCTAAAGTGTGCTATCAAAGTTCATCTTCGACTCTTTACAAAGCGTAAATCCTCACCCCAGTAAATGCATGCAGTTACAACACAAACTTCAAGGCTTCAGAAACACGTTTTAGTTTCTGGCATGAAGCCAGAAAACATGGACCAAGTGGGCTTCAACACATTGTTACTGAGCACCTACTATGTGCAGGGTTCTCTTTTTGGCACTGGAGACGCAGCTGTGAACAGGGCACACGAGGCCCTGGTTTCATGGAGTTGACATTCTAGTGAGGGAGGGAGGGGGTTCCTAGGGGGCGGAGTCAATATCACAGACAGGAACCAAACAAAGTAACAGGCAGGACTATTTCAGCTTGGGGCAGGGGAAGCCACGAGGAATGTCCTCCTGGAGCATGACGGGAGCCAGGCTCTGCCGAAACATAAACCTCCCCCTGCCCAAGCCAGTCCGGCCCAGGAACACACACAGCTGCCCGGGGTTTCAGCTCCTGAAGCTTCCATTTCATTTTATTCCGAGTTTCTGATTTGCTTTCTGATTTTTACCTTATCTTTTCCTTATCATTATCTTACCTTTTCTTTCTAATTGACTTGGTTTCCTGTCTTCTGAAATTGTTGGGATTTCTTTTGGGAAATCTTTTGGGATTTTATCCTTAGTTTCAAAAATCTTTCTTCTCTATTTTTTTAACTTTATACTGAATTATTTCCTGAGAGAATTGTCCTTCCCAATAGTTTCATGTCATTTTCTTGTATCTTGTATTTAGCCTCTTTCCTTTTATCTAAATTTGTCTAAGGTTTTTTGTTTTGTTTTGTTTTCCCCTCATTGCAGCAGAAACGCCACAGTGGCCTTGCAGCCTCAGGGTAGAAGGAGGCCTCAGGAGGCAGCTGCAGGGTACAATCTGATCCTGTTATGGGACCTGGGGCAGTCACAGTCATGCTATGAGCCGCATCTTCCATGGTCGTGAATAGGGAAGACTTTCTCCAGGGGCTGAAGCCACAATAAAATGGCAAAATGAAGCAGAGCATCATGATCTCCTTGAAGTCAGGGACCACATCTCCTCCAGCCTGTACCTGGGGCGTGCAGCACCTGCCAGGACAGGCAGCCAGCCAGTTCATTGCATAAGTGAACCCACCACAGGTGCAGTGAGAGATGGGGAGACTCACAGTAATGGTGCTATGGGCCAGACTGTTTCCCAAAATTTGTATGTTACAGTCCAAAGTCCCAGTGCCCCAGGATGTGACTGCATTTGGAGACAGGGTCTTTACAGAAGTAATCAGGTAAAGTGAGGTTGCTAGGCTGGGTCATGGTCTTGCATGACTGGTGTCCTTACAGAAGAGGTTAGGACAGACGTGCAGCCACGGAAAGTCTTAGGAAGACACAGGGAGAAGGCAGCCTCCACAAGCCAAGAACAGGTCTCAGAAGGAATCAGCCCTGCAGACACCCTGATCTCCGGCTTCCAGCCTCCCGGACAATACATTTCTGTTGTTTTTAAGTCTAGTCTGTGGTACTTTGTTACGGAAGCCCTGGAAAATGAACAGTAATGGTAACTACTGGGTAGGTGCTTACAGTGTGCAGGACACAGGGAAAAGAATTCACATGTATTGATTACCTATCCTTATGAAAACCTTGTGTGAGGCCCAGAGGGGTTAAGTAACTTAGGCAAAGTCACACGGGCATTACTAACGGAGCCCAGTTCATGGCAAGGTGTGTGAGACTCCAGGGCCTGTGCCCTTATCTGCTAGGTGGCATCACTGAAGGAAGGAACTAACAGGTCTTCTGTCTGAAGTGTCCCTGTTTCTAAAACAATCTCTCCTGGCAGTGACAAGACAGAGATTAAAGTAACAAAGGTAATACCTGTGACGAGCTCTGAAAGGTGAGTTGGGCAGGAAGCTTGAGGCTCTCCCCGTTCCCGAGGTCTCCAGCCTGGAGCGTGGCTGCATAGCTGACAGCAAAGGCATCTCCCACTGTGCAGAGAAAAGCACGTGTGATTCAGTGAGGGCTCGGCCATGCCCCCGCCCGTGCCCCACTACACCCCAGACACATCCTGGCCCTTGGCTTCCCTGGTTCCAAGGGAGGCCACCATGGCAGTGATGCCTGCAGCAAGGAAGCCTTTTGTATTACACACAGCTAGGTGCGAATTCTCTGAGTGGTAAACTGGTGACAGTGAGCTGGGCGGACTCCTGGACACCCACTCCTGACATTTCCATTCACGAGCGGGGGTGCACTACCTGCCATAGGGCTGGCTCTCCTAGCCCTTTCTCACTGTGCAGCACGCCTCATCCCATAGGTAAGTTTGGGTGGGCCGCACTCAGCCCATCCTGCTTGGACGAGGCTGTACCAGGACTGGAGGCCTTTGCCCAATGTGGCCAGGTGGGTGACAGAGCCCGTCTAACTCTGCCAGTCACTGTTCTCACCTAAGCTTGTCCTCCAATCTTGACTTTCTCCCTAACAGAGGTTACTTATAGCCCTAAAATGCCACAATATGCCTCATTTCTCAATTATGCAGACCTCAAATATATATATATATATGCACACACATATATACACACATACACACACACACACATATATGTGTGTATATATATAGTAAAGAAAAGAGGAGGAATGCTCACTTAGCCTAAGGAATCACTGGCATTTTTGTTTTAAAAATCTTCAACATTTTCATTTTTATTTTAAAATTTTTATTTATTTATTTCTGAGACAGGCTCTCTCTATGTTCCCCAGACTAGTCTCGAACTCCCAGGCTCAAGCAATCCTCCTGCCTCAGCCTCCTGTGTAGCTGGGACCTTAGGAGTGGACCATGCCCATCTCATTTTGTTTTCATATATCCTAGAGCTAAGATAATGAACGTAAAGTGATAAAGATAATGGCAGTGACAATGACAATGACGGGGAAGGTAGTCATAGTCAGACCTTCCCCATACAGTGATCTGACCACTCTCCATGCGCTGCACCTGCATTAACCCAGCTGATCTCCACGCACTGCCCCGAGATGGATGGAGAACACGTGATTTTCTGCAACATACAGAAGAAGAAACTGAGACTAAGAGACAGTGACTGGCTTAGGATCACCCGGGTGATGGACAGGGAGCCACCTGACCCTCTGGGTCCCATCATCTTTTCCCCAAACAACACTGGCTCTCATAAAAGAAAAGCATCAAATAATAATGATGATGAGGTCAGAATGTCAATGAACTGGGACCTGACTGGTCATTTGATTTTAGTTATCTACTTATGCTTTGGGGGAAAAAAAAAAAGTCACCTGAGTCCCAAAGTGAAAGTCAGTGTTACACTCCTTGGCATAGCGGTGATTTCACAGAAAAATATGATTTGGACACTGCCCTCAGGGAATATACAGCCCAGTAGGCAGAGCCAAGCATGGGCATAAATAACAAGAATGGAGCAATAAGAATAAAAATAACGCCAACAGTGGCCAGGCGTGGTGGCTCATGCCTGTAATCCTAGCACTTTGGGAGGCCAAGGCAGGTGGATCACCTGAGGTCAGGAGTTCGTGACCAGCCTGGGCAACATAGTGAAACCCTGTCTCTATGAAAAATACAAAAATTAGCTGGGCGTGGTGTAGTCCCAGCTACTCGGGAGGCTGAGGCAGGAGAATCGCTTAAACATAGCAGGCGGAGGTTGCAGTGAGCCGAGATTGTGCCACTGCACTCCAGGCTGGGCGACAAGCATGAAACTCCATCTCAAAAAAAAAAAAAAGAAAAGAAGAAAAAAAACACGAACAAAATACCTACTAACACCAGGAGCCCAGGAGCACTTTCCAGAGCCAGGCTGCATCACCCTGCTTTAGCTCCCTTACCTTCACAGCGCCTTCCTGGGTAGGTGTTATTAGCATGCCCAGAGGACATATGGAGAGCCAAGGTTCAGAGACACGCAGTGTGCACGTGCCAGAGGAGAAGTCCATGAATTCACGTGTGGAAAGTGCCTAGAATGGCACTAGGCTCCAAGCAGGAAGCAGGAAGGGGCAGGTAATCTCTGTGGAAGTTTGGAGGCAGAGGGGTGACTTTGGGGCAGTGGATTGGGTAGGGCTTTCTAGAGAAGGTGACACCAGGGCCAGGTCCCAAAGAATAGAGATGATTTGTATATTCAGAATTGGGGAGAGGTGCTTTCCTGACCCACACAAGAGCAAGAGTAGATGCTAGGAGACAGAAGAGTAGGAAGCTGGGTCTGGCAGGAGCACGGACCGTGAAAGGTCGGCGGGGAAATTAGAAGAAAGATGTGCAGGACCACAGGCTGGAGAGGGTGTTGGACACCTTCCCTTTACCAGACAGAGTGCCTGGGTGACATTGTCTCCTTGATTCTATCTCTACGGCTCCACAATGGACTGACATCGCACAACCAGAGCACTTCAATAGCTTTCCAGAACCCACGCAGCTTCTCAGTCACAAGGCTGGGAGTCACCCAGGTCCATCTGAGGCTGCGTCTGTGCTCTGCTCGTGGCCCCATGCTCCATGCTTTGAACACAAATTGAAGAATAGCAGATTCATTTTTATATCATTGAAGGCAGGAAAGCACTGAAGGTTACTTAGCTGGGATGTCTCATAACAACTTTTATGACATCATTTAAATCAGAGCCAGCAAAAAGGTCACTACATGTGGGCAAGCTCCACTAGTAGCTTCTGTCAATAATAATGTGTTACGCAGGATTCTGAGGCCTTATCTAGGCTCAGAAGGAAGGAGCAGCACGTAATCCTAGCAATGTGTGCTGTGAGTACGGAGGCATGGAGTTGGGAAGAGTTCCAGACATGTGAAAAGCACGACAGTTTAATGGTTACCAGGGTGCACAGGGAGCCTGAGCTTGACTGTCAGCCTTGACAGCAGCCAGCCCTATGACCTCGGGCAAGCTTCTCAGCCACTTTAGTCCCAGTCTATTCATCTGTAAATGAGGTCCTATGAAGAATAAAGGATGTCTTTGCCTGCCTAGGGAAACTGAGTTCTGAAGCTATGGTACCAACTGAATCCCAGAATTGGTTTTAAACCTGCTTAATTGACCAATAACAGCCCACCTCAGGAATCGAACCTCTGAAAGCCAACCAGTGAGGGTGGCAGAGTCTACAAATCAACCAAGCAGCAGTGGAGTTACTCCAGTGAACATGTTCGAACACACCTGGACACACCTGGACATACCTGGACAGCTCAGGAACATGCTACTGACATGGATGTCAACCCACTCCCACTCTATCCAGCACAACCCAAAACAAACTTTTCATCTTCCTGAGTGATGATTAATTTCGGTGATGTGAGTGACACGTATACTGGGATCCACTGTAAACTCTATTTTTGTGTATGTTTGAAATTTTTCATAATAAAAATTGACTATATATTTTTTTAAAATTTCCACAACTCTTTCCCCAAATCTAACATCTTGTTAAGATAAATGAGAAATTCAGCTTTTTGGTTACAGATATTGAATGTGGTCTCTTTTTATGATACCCTGATAGTAAGATCCATTGTGAGGATTAAGTGAGTGAACACATGTGAGTCTTTAAGAATATGCCTGACCCAGAGCACATTCACCTGGAAGTATCTGTACATATTCTCATTTGTCGTCCCTGGCTTCAGACTGCTCTGCTGTTACCTTGCAGAAACTTCTTGCTAAAAGCCTGGAATCCTTCCGAGGTCTTGTTTCCGATGGACTCCAGAACGGTGAGACCAGCGATGCTGTCCAGCAAGAGAAGCTCTGAGAGGTTGGCTGACGAGGGTGTCTTGGTGTTGTTAACAAGCAGCCATATGTGGGCTGTCTGTGCTTCGGTTGGCCCAGACACCTAGGGCAGGAGGAGAAGGCATGAGGGCAGATTTGCTGACAAATCCAGCTTCCTCAAATGGGGCACGAGCCCAGCCTGTGCACATTAGGCATCCAGGAAGAAGCAGGGTGGCACCGCCTCACAGAGGTTCTGGGAATGTATCAGGCTCCGTATGATTTCAAAGACCCCCAGCAGGGTTTTGACCCACACTTGCCAAGCTGTTGCTTGGAGACAGTTTCAAAGAAACCAAGACAGCGAAATCATCCCTGCAGAGAATCTTAGAAGAAAAAAAAGTCCAAGTGCAGAGCTAGTCAGGCTGGGGAGACTGTGACAACCAGCATTACCGAGGAAAGCAAACAGTGGCTCTTTGGTACTTAGTTATTTTAAAGATTCAGCCTCAGCCCCGGGTCTCTGATGGTCATGTGATCTCCAGGAAGGACCTGAGTAGCTCATCTGCCTCTTGGATCATCTCCCACACTCAGGCTCTACCCAACATGTGTCTCAATGGCTCTGCTGCTAGAAGCCATCCAGTGGCCAATGCAGCAGGCTCATCACCTGGGCTTTGCACTCCTGCCCTCCCTTCTCCTCTAATCTTGTCTCCCAGCCCTCCTGCACCACCTTCTCCCCAGCTCTGCTGAAATACATGCAGGAGCTGGAAAAAAGAAAAGGAAGCAACGTGTGTGCTGAGATGAGTGAGTTCTGGAATATAAGTGATAAAAGCAAGCTTCAGAACTGTGTGTGTAATATACTGCCACCTACGTGAATTTAAAAAGTGGGGGAGAAAGAAGGTACACATAGTATGCATGCATGTGCACACACTTATAACTGCATGCACATGGCAGAAAAAGTCACTAGAAGGATATACAAGAAACTACTACTAACACTGGTTGCATCCAGGAAGGCAAACGATGTAGATGAGGGCCTGTGATAAAATGAGGGTGGCACAGGGAAGGCTTAACTCAGCAAGCCTGGGCTGTCCAAACCCTCCACATTCAAGAGAAAGGAATGGCCCTTGACCAGCTCCTGAGAGATAATCTCTAAAGCCTGCGGAATATCCTTGCCTGGGTCCTTTGACCTCACCAGATAGCTGATGCCAGTGATTTGTGGTGGGTGCCTTGGACCCTGCTGTACTGAAATGACCTCTGGAGGGGCTGGAGAACAAACAGCTGAGGTCAGTCTCATGTGTCCTCCATGCCTATGTGACTGAGCCTGAGAAAAACCCTGGACCTCAAGGCTCCAGTGAGCTTCCCTGGTTGGCAATATTCTATCTGCATTGTCATACATCATTGCTGGGAGAACTAAGCTCTGTCCACACGACTCATCCACTGAGAGAGGACAGCTAATGCTCATGCCTGGTCTCTCCTGGGCTGTGCGACATTCGCCTTTTTCCTTTCCTGGCTTTAATCTGTACCCTTTCTCTGTAGTGAACTGTAACTGAGCAGAATGGCTCTTCTGAGTTCTGTAAGTCCTTCTAGCAAATCACTGACCCTAAGGCAGGTGCTGGAGACCCCTGACACAAGGATAATATGTAGGATTAGTAACCATCTTGTGGGATTAGGAAGGTTAAAGACCTAAAAAACATTAAACAACTTTGAAAACTGTCAGGTACCCTAGTAATGATTAGAATCTGAAACAAAATATATCACACTTTTTTCCCATTCTAAATGATCACTGTGGATTTTTACTGACAATTAGTTAATTGTAACAAAAATAATCTCAGTCCTAGTGTTGCCATATGAGATGTAAGAGACCTTGCTGTTTGTTCACTGCTCACGTGTCCAGACTTGCGTAGGTAAGCCCATGATTTATCAGTTCTTAAACACATGACTCTACAGAAATGATGTGGGCAAAATCCAATTATTTTCTCTTCAAATATAAACCACCAATGGAAACTTACCAGTGCACATTTCTGAAAAATTACTCCATTCTCAGAAGTCTCTTGAACTTCTCTTGAAATGTCCCCATACTACAATAAAACGTAAAAGTTATTAGAAAATGAGAAATATTTCATGCTATACATATATTTAATAAAAGTACAAGATGATGACATTTTTACAGGAGGGTAGAAGGATTACTGCTACTAATCCTTAAGTAATCTTGAAGTCTTATTTTTAAAAGAGCATTAAAGGATTGGAAATTAAAACTTACGGAAAGAAGAATGTGGACATGAGCTTACACCACAGTGTATTCCCGGTCTGGATGCATGTGTGGGACACCTGTTGTCACAGGGACTCAGTCAACCAAGATTGACACACCAGCAAGGGGGATGTGGGCAGATGAGTGAAGATAGCATTTTACATGTACCATGTGCTTCCCAGGTGTGGGCTGACAGTACCCCTGTGCACCACGGTGCACTGGGACAAAGGGCAGTGTGTCTGGGGGCAGGGGCAGCCTCTCTGTGAGCTTGATCCCTCATCAACATAGGGAATCCCCCTGCCAAGACTTGGCCTCCTCCAACCCTGCAATGGCTCCTATGAAAAGGTTCCAAAGGAAAGCCAGGGCTCATCCACCAAATACAAGCCTCCTGCTGCCTTTGAAACTTCAGGTTTCCTTTCCCTTTGACTAATAACAAGTATCTATTCATTTCTGCCCTTGCCATGCTCCCTACCCCAGGGCCCTGGCCCCTGCAGTATCCACACACCTCCTTTAAATGGGACTGGACCCTTACTTCATCAAGGAAGCTCTCCTCGGTTCTCCTTGCTGTGATGGCCATGTCTTTCCCACTCTCTGCCTTGCGCACCTGTCACCTGCAGAGGGACAAGCTGTATTCTGGGTCCCAGACTCCAGCAGCTCTCAGTGATATTAATAATCATATATCTTGTTTATTTTTTACTTATTTCTCATTTGTGTAGACATGGGGTCTTGCTATGTTTCCCAGGCTGGTCTTGGACTCCTGGCCTCAAGTGGTTCTCCTGTCTTGGCCTCCCAACGTGCTGGGATTATAAACGTGGCCACCACACTGGGCCTAATAAACTGTCTGTCATTGGCTGAGGGCCAGGCATGGCACCCATCACTTTACATACATGAGTTCTATTACCCCCATTTTATAGATGAGGAAACCAAGGCTCAGAAAGGTTAACTCTCTTGCCAAAAGTCACACAGGCAGGAAGCTCGAGACTCTCCCCAGGCCTGTGTGACTTCAAATCCTGTGATCTTTCCACAACATGAATTCCCTCTCCACAGCGTAGAAAATTGTGTAGAAAATTAACAAAAATGCCATTTTCAGAAGAACAGACCGACGATATGCAACGGCATCAGACTGACCCAGGCCTCTGATTCAGTTGAGCTTCCGTCCACCACACCCACTCTAATGCCTTTTTAACGTGCTGAGACCGTAAGAGAATTTGCCAAAGCCCTCAAGCAGGCTTTCTCTTCTTCTGACCTTCATAGAACATCTTGTAAACAATAACTGATAAATATAGCTTGTGAAGCAAATCAACACAGAAAGGACGACTGAGTATGGAGGGTGCTGCCCTGTGAGGTGACGAGTTACCTGTTACGGGAGAGGACTGGAAAGAACAATGAGTATTTGTAGTGGGGTCAGTGGTGGCCCCCAAAGGATACGTCCATGTTCTGATCCCCAGAACCTGTGAACGTGTCCTTCTTTGGAAAAAAGGTCTCTGAAGATGTAATTAAGCTGAGGATCTCGAGAGATCATCCTGGACTACCCAGGTAGGGCTGACATCCAATGACAAGTGTCCTCATAAGTAGCACATAGAGAAGACACAGACACAGAGGAGGCCAAGAGCAGATGGAGGGAGACAGTCAAGCGATGCAGCCACAGCCAAGGAAGGCCTGGAGTCACCAGAAGCTGGAAGAGGGAGGAGGATCCTCCTCTAGAGCCTGCAGAGGGAGCATGGCCCGGGCAGCACCGTGATTCCAGACTTCCAGCCTCCCCAACAGTGAGAAAATACATTCCTGTTGTTTTCAGCCATGCTGTTTGTGGTCATCTGTTACAGCAGCCCCAGGAAATTCACATGGCTACTTAGCAGGGAACCCAAAAAAGGGCTGTTGGCCATTGTAGCTCATTGGCCAAGCTTAATGGTTCTCAATACCACGTTACGTCACTGAACCCACGTGATATAAAACAGAATAGAAAACAATAGCAAGAGCATGGAGTAGTGGTTAGAGAAGAGGCTTCGAATCTCGGTTCTGCCACTTCTACCTGTGGGACATGGAACTGGTTTTTTAATCTCTCTAATCCTCAATTTCCCATCTGTAAAAGGAGAATAAAAATACTACTGCTTAAGAAACTCATAACGAGGCTCAAGTGAGATTATGCATAGAAAGTGCTAAACCCAGTGCCCGGCCCGTAGTAAACGCCTGTGAAATGCTCACTGCTATTATGGGTACAGTCATCTTTAATAGCTGGGAGTCACTTGGTCTGGTTGAAGCACAATCCAATCCCTGCTTTGGAAACACCAGACGAGGCAGCCTAATGCTTGACTCAAACCTCCTCTCCATCTAAATACTGTATGTCGTGTAGCAGAAATAGCATCTTGGAAAAATAAATGGATTCACTCCCCAATGATAACTATATTTAGTTATCAGTAGAAAGAGGAGGAACAGCGTTTTTTAAGCAACAAAAGCCTGTGCCATTTTACACAGCCCAAAATTGGTTTCTTTCCAACCTCTGGTATTCACGTTAAAGTACTGAACTTACTACTTACCAGGCGGTGTGTTACAGGAGACTCTCTTTTAAATAAGTTCTTCTTAGGCCAGGAAGGTATAAAAGCAAATAAGGAATGAGCCCATGGCCCACTAGAGGCTGCAGAGGTTGAGAGTGGGATAAAGACTTCCATTTTCTTGTCCAATTTCATTCCAAGTGGTGCTCCCACTGCAAAACAGCAATGTGCACATCTTATATAATGCAGAAAGACAGTAAGGCATAGAGCTTAACCTCTAGAGGCAGACTACATGGTACACGGAAGGCACCTGAAAAATGTTTGCTGGGTAAGTAAGTTAATGAATGAATGGTATCATCTCTTTGCCAGGAAAATGAGACATGCTCGTTGGGAAGCTACAGAGCTTACACACAGTATTTTTCAAAGTTTGGTCTCCTTACCTGGGTTGTGCAGCCCCACCTAGGAATCAGAACCGCTGGGCAAGAATGGTGCCTGGGGTGATTCTTACACACATGACATGAGACAGCCCTGGGCTTGAGTCCTGGCTCTGCCCCTCCAGCTATGAGTCCTTGGGCATAACCTCTAACCTCTCTATACCTCGGTTTGCTGAATTCTAAGGCAAACAGTATAGGTACTACCTTACTAGGTCCTTCTAAGTACCTGCCTACTGCAGAGTAAGCCCTCAGTGAACACTACCAACCACCATCCTAAAGAGGTTGTGTGCATGGCCAGACACAAACGCCTGCTGAGCCCCCCAGTAGCAAATGACTCCCAGGCCAGGCGCGGCGGCTCACACCTGTAATCCTAGCACTTTGAGAGGCCAAGGTGGGCAGATCATGAGGTCAAGAGATCAAGGCCATCCTGGTCAACATGGTGAAACCCCATCTCTGCTAATAGATACAAAAAATTAGCCTGGTGTGGTGGCATGTGCCTGTAGTCCCAGCTATTCGGGAGGGTGAGGTAGGGGAATCACTTGAACCCGGGAGGCGGAGGTTGCAGTGAGCTGAGATTGCACCACTGCACTCCAGCCTGGTGATAGAGCAAGACTCCATCTCAAAAGAAAAACACAGTAAAATAAATAAAATAAAATAAAATAAAATAAAATAAAGAAATTGCTCCCTTAGATTTTTCTCTGTGTCAATACATTTGGAAAGTTCATAGGCATTGTGTGTAAAGCACAGGAATGTCACTTGAAAGGTCCTGGCTGGGCGGTCAGGGTCCCTCTTGAGTGGATGCAGCCCAGATGCCAATCAGCTGTGGGACCTTGCACAGGTCAGCTGAGTTCTCTGGGCCTCAGTTCCCCTCACCTGGGAGTGTGGCTAAGATACCAATCAGACAGGGCTGTTGTCTGAGCAGCCAATCAAATGCCACACTGCACGTGAAAGTGCTTAGATGTATCCAATGCTTCAAGTCAGCAATTTTAGTTTTGAAATGGCCTGGATGGTGGCATTGTGCCTTCTTCAACATTTGTCTTCTATTCAAATACACACTAATTTGATGGAAAATAAGATGTACTTTTCAGTCTTTCTTACCCAGCACATTGATGGTAAAGACTACAAGTGCTCTTGAAACTTTCTATAGAATTTCAAAATATATGCAGGAAAAAAACTAGAATTTGATAAAAAAAAAAAAAAAAAAAGATGTGGAGCTGGGTCCTAGATCAAATTACAGTATTTTTTTTCCTTCCTTGGGTTGTATCTGGGGGTGATTCAGTTCCTCAGGTTGGGATGGGATAAGGGTTTCTGCTGCATCAAGCATCGGGGGACTGATGGCGCTCGCCATGGAAACAAGCCAGTGCTCCACCGGGTCAGCAGCTGATTCAGAGCATCAGGAATGTCTGAGTAGAGCGTATGGATGCAAGTGAGACCGGACATCCATCTCTGGACCCCAGCACAGCACCTTGGGCTAGGGCACAAATGCTTGTGCAGCAAGCAGGCAGAACATAAATTCTTAAGGCCACACCTTACCCTTAAGCGCTCCATCTCTGGTCCACCCATTTACGCTTCTCTGGCTCTCCTGGTCCCCCGCTTTAATGAAGACTCTAAGGTGATCCCTCCCTTCAGAGAGGACCCCTCCTCTATTCAGCAAGAATCCTGCTCAGTCTACAGAGACAAGTGAGGCCCACCCAAATCCCAGCCCATCCCATTCCCCAGGACACTAGAGTTAGGCACAGAACCCAGAAAACCCTACACATTGGCCCTAGAGATAGTTTCAGGGACAGGCCGGGGACCCACACTGAGCCCAGGGGTCTGCACTGAAACTGTCACAGCCACTGGGAAAAGTCTACACTGCAGGTGCCAGCCATCAGACTCAGGAGCCGGGGACTGCCCACCGCAGCTTTCCCACCACAGGGTAAGGATGTACCTGCCTGCAAAGGATGCTCGCCAGAGGAAAGCAGGGCGGCTGAGAGGGAAGGAGAAAGGCAGAGCCGTAGGAGCATTGAGAACCTTGTGCTCCCGGGTCCAGCAGTGCCAGGTCCTGTGTGTTTCAGTTACAGATGCCAATCAATTCCTCTTGATGAAATGAGTGTCAGCTGAATTTCGACCACTGAGTGTGGCAAGCTGAATAAAGGTCCGCAAAGATAGCCAGGTCCTAACCCCATGAGGCTGTGAATGTTATCTTAGGGTCACAGACACTTTGCAGATGTGATTTGATTAAGGGCCTTGAAATGGAGAGATTGCCTGGATTATCCTGGTGGGCCCTAAATGTCATCATAGACGTCCTTATAAGAGGGAGCCAGAGATTTGACAGACAGAAGAGAAGCAGGCCAAGTAACTATTGAGGCACGATGCCATGCTGCTGGCTTCTGAAATGCAGGAAGGCAGTATCCCTAATCCATCCCTAAGGAACGCAGGCAATGTGGCCATAGATGCTGGAAAAGAAGAAGAAATGGGCTCTCTTCTGGAACCTCTAGAGGGACCAGACACCCTGACTTTGCCCAGTGAAACTGATGTTGGACTTCTGACTTCTCGAACTGTAAGGGAATAAATGTGTGTGGTTGAAGCCACTAAGTTGTGAACATTTGTTAGGGAAGCCACAGAAAACTGATACACCCAGTTAATTCACACATTCTGTGTTTCATTCCCCAGATGCCTTCAAGGGATATCAAAAAGGGCCTACCTCACTCCAGGTTCCACTGTGCACTAACACTTCGGCCAGCTCTGAGGTGCAGGCACACTGCCCTAGTTCTGTAAGGTCAGGGAATGATCTACTTGTCCGAAGTAGAGAGGTGCTGGAAGGATCAGCAGAGTGTGAGGGAGCTGGAGGAAGGAGGGCTTCAGGCTTCTGGTTTTTCATGCTCAAAACAGGAGAACATCAACCAGAAGAAAAACTCACCTGCAGTCTTAAAGTGACAGCATTCTACTTTGGGCCAAACCATACAGGGCAAGTCCTAAAAAATTCAAAAGACACAGAGTCAACATGGAACACATACTTGTGAGAAGTGGTGATAAATAATCTTTGTAAATGGCTCACATGGAGAGGACCTGCATTTTTTTTTTTTGTTTAAAGACAGAATCTCACTCTGCCGCCCAGGCTGGAATGCAGTGGCCTGATCTCAGCTCACTGCAGGCTCCGCCTACTGGGTTCATGCCATTCTCCTGCCTCAGCCTCCCGAGTAGCTGGGACTACAGGAACCCATCACCACGCCCGGCTAATTGTTTTGTATTTTTAGTAGAGACGGGGTTTCACCATGTTAGCCAGGATGGTCTCGATCTCCTGACCTCGTGATTCACCCACCTCGGCCTCCCAAAGGGCTGGGATTACAGGTGTGAGCCACCGTGCCTGGCCAAGGACCTGCACTTTTATCTGGAAGTGTGAAGTAAACTTTTCTAAGTCAGCCATCCCCGCCAGCTTCTGAGTAGGGAATTCTCTTCCCTTTCCCAGGGAGAGAATCAGTGCCCTCATGAATGCATTTCTGGGAGCTGTCAAGGGAGGACGCACCATGTGGTTAAAACGTCTTATCATCAGACAGACCTGGGTTCAAACCTCAGCCCTGCCCTCCATCAACTCTGTGACCCTGAGTAAGCCAAGAGCCTCCAAATTCCCAAGATCCGGCAAGTTTCCACAGTGTCAGATAACACACTAGATGGGAAGTGGAGAGAACTGGACTCCAGCTGGAACCATTTATTCACTGTGTGCCCTTGGCTAAGTCTCAGCCTCTCTGAGCCTCAGATCCCTCTTCTGAAAAGTGACCTCAAAGCCTCCCCTGAGTCTGCTCAGCCTCGTTGGTGATGAAAATTGGTCTAAACTGAACCTGGCCAAACCCTTCCAATTTATCTTTGTCAATCACTGGGCTCTAGAAAGACTCAGACCTCTCTACTGAATAATAATAAAAGCTCTCCCAGATGGAACCTTCTCCATGTACCAGTGCTTACACTATGTGCACTGAGTGAACTGCACAAGTAGTCCCTATAGTAACCCATGAAGCATTATCCTCATTTTACAGCACCACCCCCAGTCTACGGCAACAAGATAACACTCCAGGGCCTGGCACGCAAGCAGCCTGGCCCGGCACGTGTGCTCACCGGCACCTGCACGCAATGGCTGGTTTCTGTGTAACGGAAGGAGAAAGGATGTGTATGCGAGCTGAGCCGCATGCTCAGGACTGGCTTTGGGGGCCAGTTCCGATGACTAGTCCATGTGGCTACTGTTCACTTGGCTCTCACGTGGGCCAGACGCCACGGAAAGCATGAGTTGGGATGGGATCGATGGGACACTGTTGTGGCCACCGTCTGTGTGTTTCAGGCCCAGTCCTTACAGACCTCCAGGACCCTACCTAGGGCAGTTCTGCTGGTGTGACGTAAGCCCAGCCGGACTGGAGGTTGATTTTCCCCCAAAAGTGTGGAGGAGGCTCACCCACAGAGATGGAGACTTGTGGAGGGACACAGAGGAAAAAATGGAAATTGCAGAGACAGAGGCAGAGACAGGCAAGAGGTGAGGGAAGAGGGAAAACGGGTGCAGCTTGATCCAGCCAGGCTTCTACCAAACCCATCCCAGCATTCCCCATTGATGGAGCCAAACATTTGGCTTCAGTTTGTTCACATGGAGCTTATGTTATGTTACGGGCAGCATAAATAATTCTATTTAAAATAGTAAATTACGGTACAAACACTCTATGGAGTACCAGGCAGCTATTAAAAAGAATAAAGCAGCATGATTGAGAATTCCACTTCTGGGCATATACGCAAAATAACTGAAAGTAGGATCTTGTAGAGATATTTGCACATCTGTGTTCACAGCAGCATTATTCACAATAGCCAAAAGTGGAAGCAAGCCAAACGTCCATCGATGGATGAATGGATAAGCTAAATGTGGTCTATTCATAAAATGGAATATGCAGCCTTGGAAAGGACAACATAGGGAGACCCCATCTCTAGTCCAGATTTCTCCCCTCAAATCCAGACGTGAACGCCTAAGAGACATGTGGAACTCACAGCAGTGATTTCCAACCCGAGGCTGCTGCACATTAGCCAGTGGCATCTCCTTTCTGCTATTTGCTCAGGCCCAAATCCTTGGATTTGTCCTTGATTCTTCTCTTTCTCTCTCTCAACCCAGAACCAATCCCAGTAAACCCCACTGGCTCGACCTTGAAAAAACATCCACAGTCCAGCAACCTCTCAGTAGCCCACCATTATCTCCCCAGTTTAGCTCCCCTCCATGGCCCCCGGGCCTCCCGCCTGCCTGCTGGCCACTTTCCTGCTCACCCCTCTGCCTGCCATCTGTTCTCACCCCTGCCATGGGGGTGCTTGGAAAGGAAACATGAGACGGGGTCACTTTCTTGCTCAAAGCCCATCCACAGCGTCTCATCTTACTCAGAACAACCGTCGGAGTCCTGGCCAGAAACACGGCCTTGCCCGTCCCTCACTCCATTCGGGGATCTGCTCAGCTGTCACCTCCTTGAAGCACCTTTCCTGCCTGTCCATATCACAAGTGCTGCTCATCTCTCAGACCACTCTGCCTGCTGTGTGCATCTCTATAGCCTCCAACCACTGGTGGACACACCACAGAGTAACATGATTCCTGCCTTTTTCCAGCTCCAAGAATGCAGGCTCCTTAAGAGCAGGGGCAGGTCTTGGTCTGCCTTGCCCTGTTGTATCTCAAGCATTTAGGACACAGCCTGGCACCTAGAAGGCCCTCAACAGCCATTGCGAATGAATGGCCCAGAGGCCTGGTCTCTACTCCCCCTCCACTGCCTCCTCCCCTTTCAATCAACTTCCAGTAGAACAGTCTGCATTGATGAAAATGGTCTAGAATCTGAGCTGTCCAATATGGTAGCCACTAGCCAGATGGGGGCCACTGACATGTGAAATGTTTAAGTTTAGTCATACATGGCGACTGTAGTGGACAGTGTCCTTTTAGGCCATCTGGGAAATGGTTGTAATTTCCTCTTAGTTCTCTCTCTGTAAGAAGGGATGATAAATTAGCATAGAAATCTTGTGTTCAGGTTTACAAAGCACTTTCTTGTAGAGCCTAGACACTGACAACAAGTGCTTTGGGATAGGCAAGTCTGGGTGGGCATATTCACCTCACCTGGAATCACTGAGGCCTCAGTTTCCTCATCTGTACTATGGGGATATTATACCTTCTTCATAAGGAATTTTAAAAGATTAAGGCCAGGCACGGTGGCTCACACCTGTAATCCCAGCACTTTGGGAGGCCGAGGAGGGCAAATCATGAGGTCAGATCGAGACCACCCTGGCTAACACAGTGAAACCCCATCTCTACGAAAAATACAAAAAATTAGCTGGGTGTGGTGGCGGGTGCCTGTAGTCCACTGCACTCCAGCCTGGGCAACAGAGCGAGACTCTGTCTCAAAAAAAAAAAAAAAAAATTAAACCAGAAAATAAATGTAAAGCTTTAGCATAGTACCCAGCACAGAGTAAATACACAGCAAATATACAATTGTTATTATTGCTATTATTACTACATATTACTATGTATTGCCATTCAGTAAGTCCTTACTTAACATCATTGATAGGTTCATAGAAACTGTGACTTTAAGCCAAATGGCATACTGTATAGCAAAACCAAATTTACCATAGGCTAGTTAATACAGACAAGAGCTGTTCCTATAGCATACAGCGCTTCTTTTGCTTAAAGTCAAAGTATCCAAGAACCTATTGATGTCCCGTGAGGAGTTACTGCATATCATCATAACTATTATTATCACTGCTCTTGTTACTGTTCTTATCATCACCATCATCATCATTTCTGATAATGCCAAAAAGTAACTATAAAATCGCCACTTTGCAGATGAGGAATGTGAGTCTCAGAGCTGGGCTGAGCACCAACTTCAGGAGAATGGAGACTCAGGCACGTTGAGTGCTATATCCCCAGGAGCCGCACAGAAGCATCAAGAGTACCCAATAAATATTTATAAATTGACACATGAAATATCCAAGTGTCCACAGCTAGTAAATAGTAGAGCTGAGGTCAGAACTCATGTTTCTAGACTCTTAGCCCCGGTTCCAAACCCTCAGTCACTGCCTCACCACTTCCTGCCAACCTCAGTTACTTCACTTGCATTCACTCATTCAACAAATACTTTTGATCACCTACTATGTGCTATTTTGAAAATGAGGATACGTCGCCAAAGGAGACATCAAATGCTCTATTCTCAAAACACTATTTAGGAAAATTACCAGCAAAATCATAGTATACTATATATAATTCAAACAAAACAGTAACATACCGTAAATAGTATATTAGAAGGTGATAAGAACAGTGGAGCAAAATAAAGAAGGAAAGAGGGACAGAGAGTAATGCTATTTTAAATGGGGTGATGTTGAAAGGCCTTACTGGGGTGACAGAGGGGCTGTCAGGGTATCGGGGGAGGAGCATTCACTTAGGCAGAGGAAAGACACGTGCAAGGGCCCTGAGGTGAGAACACACCCAGGGTGTTCAAGGAACACAAGGAGGTCCGGGTGCCTGAGCAGGGCAAGTGAGTGATTTCTGCTCTGGGGACAATGGGAAACCACCGTGAGCTACTCTGTGATGAGTGGCATAATAGTCATTTTAAATGGGACACTCTGGCTGCTCTGTTGAGAACAGAGAAGTACTCAAGGGGAGACGCAAGGAGGTCAGTCAGGCGGCTCCACAATAATCCCAGAGAGACGGTGGCAATTCAGATGAAGATGGTGTTTGTAAAGAGAGTGAAAACTGTGTTGATTGTGGGTGTGTTCCATGCGATGTGCTGACTAAATGTGGGGCTTGGGGAGAGGGAGGAGGCTAGGAGGGTGCCAAGGCCTTCGGGCTCAGGAAGAAGACAGAGGAACCACTGGCAGGAAGGGAGCCTAGGGGCAAGATTTAGGTTCTGCCTTGGTGCATCAGTTGTGGAGTGCCCATGAGTCTCCACGAACCATGGCAGGTAGGCCTGCAGATCCATGGTGGAGCTCAGAGAAGGTCTTGGCTGGACATGGAAATTCGGGAGCTGCCAGTGGATAGATAGATCACCAAGGATGTGAGTGTTGATAGAGGGAAGAGAACCCAGCACTGAGCCCTGGGGTGCTCCGGCCATTAAAGATCAAGTGAAGCACAGACACCCTCAAGATCTCCATCTTTCCTGACCAAGCTCTCAGGAAGTTTTGTTTTGTTGTTGTTGTTGTTTGAGAGAGGGTCTTGTTCTGCCATCCAGGCTGGAGTGCAGTAGTGAGATCATAGCTCACTGCATCCTCACACTCCTGGTTTCAAGTCATCTTCCTGCCTCAGCCTCCTGAGAACCTGGGAATACACAGGCATGTGCTATCACACCCAGCTAATAAAATATATATATGTTTTTGTAGAGGTGAGGGTCTCACTATGTTTCCCAGGCTGCTTTTGAACTCCTGACCTCAAGCTATCCTCCTGACTTAGCCTCCCAAAGTGTTGGGATTACAGGCGTGAGCTTATTTGACTAATAGTTCCCTTAACTTGGAATTCCAAGGCTGCAATTTTGAAGCTACAGTAATTACACAGTGTAACAGATAATGTTACATCGTATCTGGCTGATTTTTTGTTGTTCTTTTCTACAAATTTGGGACACCCCCAATCCACTGAACTTGGCATCACAATCAACCTAAATTACTGTTGTGTGGTGCTTCAAGTAAAATAACAAAATGATACTATTAGCATAATGAAATGGTGAAAATGATGAAAGGATCTCATTCTGAAATAGACACTTATCTTTCAAAGGGGCTGGGTGGTTTCTTTCATCTGAATTCTTGGGACATCAGATAAGGCTTGCTACCGAGCAGTGATTTCTCAGACTTGTTGGTCTTGGGACTCCTTTATAGATTTGCCAATTATTGAAGGCTCCAAAAAACTTTTGTTTGTGCTGATTATATTCATCAACATGTACTCTCTTTAAATTAAAGGTGAAAATATTTTAAAGTGTCTATTAATTCATTTTAAATAGGAATAACAATGCCATTTCACATTAACATAAACAGCATATTTTTTGAAAACTAAACTAAAACTTTTATTTTCTAAAATAAAAAAAGTGAGAAGAATTACTTTTTTTTTTTTTTTTTTTTTTTTACACTTTTGCAAACCTCATCTATGTCTGAGTTAATGGAAAGAGCTGGATTCTCAAATCTGCTTGTACATTAAATCTGCTGCAACATCACACTTACTGTCACCTTGGAAAACTCCATCGCACAATTGTGAGAAAATGAGTAGACAAAGTAATATCTCAGCATTACTGTGAAAATAGCTGACTCCATGGACCCCTATAATGGTTCAGTGACCCGAGGGAGTCCCTGGGCCCCACTTTAAGAACCACTGCGGAATAAAATGCATTCCCAGTGGGTATCAAATGACGAAATTAAAAAAGGTAAAATCCCCGCCCACAGTAACTCACAATCCAGCAAAGGAAATAGACAAGCAGCCAAAACGATGTGGTAAATGTTCTCACCAAGAGATGTCCCAGCATCAGGGGGCTAGAGACTTGGAATATGACAAGCCCCTCCTACATGCGGGCCGCACCCACGATGATTCCTCCACCTGGAATGTCCTCTCCCGACTCTTTCCCTGGCTAAACCTGCCCATCCTTCAAGTCTCAACTGACCTCCCAGACTAAATGATCTCCTTCCTCCGCCCTCTCTCATGGCTCCCCATCCTCCTCCTTACAGCAATCACAGTGTGCAATTAGGCATTGGTCTCCCAGCCCCCTGCACACAGCACGGGACTTAGCAAAGGTGCAATAAATATATATATAGATATAGATATTGAATGAATGGATGGATAGATGGCATCAAATAATTACATGAAGGCATCAAATAATTACAATAGGAAGAACTAACCTGTGCCTTAGGGAACTGTGCTCTGGAAACAGCCCTTACACCACTGCTCAGAAGAGAAAGCAGAGACCTGAGGGCTGTGACTTGCCCCAGGCCCCAGAAGAGGGAGTGGCCGAGGCAGGGACACACATGACTGGAGCTCTTTCCTGTACAGTGTGCAGAAGGGCTGTCCAAGACAGGCCCAGAGAGATGGAGGAAGGCTGGTCCCATGGACAGCTGGGATGGGTGTGGGCAGGGCCAGGGCCCAGGGGATGTGCTCAAGATGCCAAGGGCACCTGAACACAGGTGCTCATTCCCAGATTCCTGCAAAGGCAGGGGCGGCCCTTAAGTGTGAGGTGCTCTAGACCTACCATGGTCCTAGACGGCTTCAGGCCCTTTCCAGTAGGCACCATCCCTCCCTTCCGGCAGGGACCACCCTCAACACCACTGTGGCTGACAGAGACCAATGTGCGCCAGGATCTTCTGACTCTGGCATCCCAGAAGGAAGAGCTTGTGCAAAGCAGGTGAGGCCAGGCGCACGGGCTCTGAACTCGGGGGCCAGGGAGAGAGCACAGGACAGGCCTGGGGATTCGACTCCCTGAGCCTTGGTTTTGTCACCTGCAAAACTGGCCAGATACTCCCACCTCACAGGGCAGATGAAAGAACCCAGGGAACATGTTCTGTCATTAGACTTTTGAAAGCTCAGGACACTGACATGGCATTTCTCCAGTGAAAATCTAAAGACAGAAAGGAAGCAGGGTCTCTTTTAAGACTAAACCTCTGGAAGTGTCGCAAGTGTCCTGGGGTAGAGAACACAGCAGGACAGGACCCACCACCCTGGGAGAGAGGTGGGAGGACCTCAGGGCAGCATCAATGGCCAGACCACTGGCCAGGGCAGTCCTGGGAATAGGAGTCTGGGTGTGCTGCCAGGGACAATAAGGTGGGGGAGGGAAGAGTGCCAGCATGGGACAGGAGTGGTGTGATGTCTACCAGGACAGACCACCCCAGAGGTCTGGGGGAAAATGGATGCAAGAAGTGGGAAAACCATCACCAAGGGCTAGAGGTGAAGTGGTGGGACCTGAAGCCAGGGGGTGGCAGTGGGGAGGGAGGAGGGGCAGACATCCGAGCTGATCTGGAGGAAAAGGCACTAGGACTGGTGACCAACTTTGTGGGGGGAAGTCAAGTCTAGGGTGACAGCCAGGGATCCACGCCTTTCGAGTTTAGGACCAAAGAAGGAGGGCCAGGGTGAAGTAGGAAGTGGCTAAATCCATCAGCCAGGAGAGTTCAGTCACCTAAGAGTCCAGCCAAGAGTTTCCACTTTCAACAACCGCTGCAATCTCCCAGTGCTGGCCTCTGCAAGGCGCTCTGCATGTGTGAGCTCATCTAACCCACTTTCACCCTCTGGGGTGGACGCCGCCACGGCCCTGTTTCAACGATCAGGAAACTGGGGCACAGGAGTGACCTGCCCTAAGTCAAAGTTCGTAAAATGGAGAACAGGATTCGAACCCGGGTCGCTGGTGAAGTCCAAGCCCGCAGGTGCCACATCCCGAGGAGGGTCTCTAGTTTCCCTCGAAGCTTTCTGGCCATGAGCGGGATACACCTAAGGGCCGCGAGGCACCCTGTTCAGATCCTGCCCTCTCTCATTCTTTGCGAAATACTAAGGGTCCTCCCTGCCACCGCCGGTGTAGACGAAGTCAAACCACTAGAGTCAGACCGGAGCCTGGGGGCGGGCCCTCCTTACCTGCGTGCTGCTCTCGGGCCCCACCCCGCTCCGCCCGGGAGGAGTCCTCAGGCCAGGCCCAGACCCGGGAGCCACCTGGGGATGCCGGGGTGGCTGCGCGCCGAGGGGGCGCCAGCGGGGACTTGAGCTGGCGCCGAGACAGCCTCGGTCCCCCAGCGCCAGGGCTACCGCCAGGAGGCCCCCGGCCAGCACCCACGTGGCGCGCCCCCGGGAGCCCGAGGGGCCCATCGCCTGCCGGGACCCGCTACCTCAAAGCGGCGGGTGCCGCCGAGTTGCCGGAGCTTCCGGACCCCAGGCCCGCCCCGCCGCCGAGCATGCTCAGTGCGAGCCGCCGCCGAAAGTTTTCTGGAACAAATACCCGCATCTGGAGCTCGGCCGGCCGGGAGGTGCCGGACGGGCGTGGGAGGGGAAGAGCAAGTTGGCGCGGCCCGGGCGCCCGGCGGCCTGGCCTGGGTTTGCTTCCGCCCAAACCAAATCAGAGCGGGTCACTCCCCTGCTCCTCAAGGTTACCAGGGCCCCAAGGGCCCCCCGGTACCACCTACCCGGGTCTGTAAGCCTCTGCTCAGACGCACTTCTCCTGGGAACCGTTTCCTGACACACGGATGTGAATCCGGAGTTTCCTCATCCCCGTTTAGAAAACTGAGAAGCACTTGGAGCTCGGGGCCACGAGTTCTGGAGCACCCAGAGGGTTCAGGACAGCTCGGGGAGGAGGGGGTGGCGGGGAGAGAAGGAAAAGGACCCTCACTTCCGGTTGCGTTCAGTGCAGCCCAGCTGAGCACCCACTGCCCGAGCCTGCTATGGCTCAGCCCTGGGCCTGCCGGGGTGCCCCTCGCATTCCCAGTGGGAAACAGGCCAGCCGCTGGGCCACCTCTCTGGAGACCTAGAAAGAGGGCAGCTGGTGTCTGAAGTCGCAGCCCTGAGCAAGCTCTCCCTGAACTCTCCGTGGGGACAGGGGTTTGCTTTGCCAAGGGAGGGAGGAGGAGGAGGAGAAAGACACAAAAAAGGGGAACAGGTGGAGCCTTTTGTCTGCTTCCTCATCCCTGCCTAGGTCCTGAGTCACAGCTGACACCTGTTGACGGGAGAGGGCTCCACTCCAGCCATCCTTCCTCCAGGGCAGCCTGTTAGGCTGTCTAAAGTCTCAGGCCAGTGAGCCTGGCCCCTGGCAGCCTATCTCCCCATAACCCAGACCATCCAAGGACAGGCCTTTCCTGAGCTAACATGGACAAGGCCATGGGGTTTGAGAAGCTGAGAATTTATAAGCCAAGTTCCCCACACCAGGGGGTACGTGGCAGCTGTCAGGCATGAGACAAGGCCACAGGCTAATTGCCAAGCATGTTGCTGGACCATTGGTATTATTTGACAGTCGGTAATTTAAAGGTTAATTTAATAGTCAACTTTATCATAGAGTAAAATGCAAATAACCCTACATTTAAAACATCTTCTTATTACTATTTTTTATAGAGTCAGGGTCTCACCGTGTTGCCAAGACTGGTCTTAAACTCCTGGGCTCAGACAATCCTCCACTTCAGCCTCCCAAAGTGCTGGGATTACAGGTGTGAGCAACCACACCCGGCCCAGACACCGCATTTTAAAAACTAAAGCCTAAGCATTCATGGAAATACCCAGCGTAAAACAATAGCATCAAGTTACTGCCTTCATATGCGTCCCCAGGAACTTGGAGATGCTTCTAAGGAAATATATAAGAAGCTCCCCATAGCGGAGAGTTTGTCCTGAAGCCAGACAGACACAGGTGTAAATGGGACAATAATTCTGTCCCACTCCTTAATTGCAAGACCTTAAATGAGTCACCTCTCCTCTCTAGCTGTCAGTTTCTTCGTTTATAAAAAGGATGAAGAATTTGGGTAACAGTTCTCATCTTGCCATGAGGAAATGATGAAACAAATTAGAAACAAGCTGGACATCCAGGCTGAAAGGGCAAAGCCCTCCTCTGCTGAAACAGATCCACATGGTGTCCCCTAGCCTGGCCCACACAGGTAATTAAGCTCCACAGGGTAGGCGTGTGTGTGTGTCTGCGTGTGCCCTTGCGTGCAAGTGTGCAGTCATGCACATGCATGTGTACTTTACCCAGGCACCCAGGACAAAAGCAAACATCTAGTAGCTACCCCATAAATGTTTGTTTAAAGCAAACACAGTGTGATGAACTGGTCTAATTGTTTACCCCTCTACACAACTATGAGATATTCACTACCCTGGACACTGCCTAGTTTGTGGCTGGCCTATCCCCCAGCCTGCAACACACAAACAGATTCTCCCCAAGTGCTGAGTAAATGAATGATGGTGCAGTGTCCTGGACCTAGTGGGGACCGGGTGTAAGGGTCTCTCTACCCAGCGTCTCAGTGGAGACTGGGTGTAAGGGTCCCTCTACCCATCCTCCTAGTGGAGACTGAGGGTAACGGTCTCTCCACCTATTGTCTTGACCTTCCCTGGGAGAAAATAAGATTAAAACGGGAGACTTCGCGTGAGCAAGTTCAGAGGCGTGGAGGGCGGTGTGGCTCTGGGAGGGTTGATGGGTAGAGGTTAGGGGCAAGGGCAAGGGGTTGGACTTGCATTGGTCCCAGCGTTTTCATCAGGAGGATGAGCGGAGCACCCACCACAGAGGGTTATGGAGAAAGTTAATGAGATCATTAAGCTAAATGCTTAGCATATTCTAAGCCTCAATACAGTTAAAGGAGACTTCCTCGGTGATAAAGGTCTCTCTTTCTCCCCAGGAACCCAGGAATCCCGGTGGAAACCGTGCCCCCTCCGGAAAGGTCCGGGGCTGGGAGGCGCGCTTCTTGCTGGGCATGCTCAGTGCAGGGGCAGAGCTGAGGCGGGGGTGGCTGAAAGTTTTGAGCGGTGATCCAGGCTCCTCCCTCCGGCTCGGCGAAGCAGGGAAGGGGAGAGGAGTAGGAGTCGGGAGACTGCACAGGCCGGAAAGTCTGCGGGGCGCGCCGCGCCCCTGGCCCGCCCGGGCTCCGAGTCTCTCGTCGCCGCCCTGGCGGGGACGGTGCAGCAAGCAGCGGGATGCGGCGGGGCGGCCGCCTGAGAGCCCCAGATGGCCGGCGGCGGGGCGGCCTGCAAGAGCGACGCGCGGCTGCTGCTGGGCCGGGACGCGCTGCGGCCGGCAGCCGAGCTGCTGGCCCCCGCCGTGCTGCTGGGCGCCGCGCTCGGCCTCGGCATCGGCCTCTGGCTCGGCTGCCGTGCGGGCCGCCGAAGCCCGCGACACCAGGTGGGTCGGCCGAGCAGACAGCGGTGGGGTGGGGCGCGGGGCGCGTAGCTTCTCTGTCGTGCGGACCTGGAGACCCGGCTCTGTGACTCCTTGAGCCTGGTTGGGGACTTCGCGCGCAACTGCTCAGGCGTCAGGTTCTCCTGCTCCAGGAGGAAGGTGGCAGGGTGACTAGAGGGCATTGACCTGGGGTCCCCTGCGGTGCCTGTTACATCCCGCTCTGTTGGGTGATCCTAGACAGCAGCCCATCCGCGGCACGCCTCGGTCTCCTTATCTGCAGCACCAAGGGTTTGGACAGGATGCTGACCCGGCTCACTGTGGTGGACAGAAGGGCTGCTGGGACTCCCACGCCTGAATGCCTATTCCTACTTCTGCCTTTTCCATCCTTCTGGTGTGGGTTACGTCGCCTGGCCTGAGTTCCAGCCGCCACATTGGCATTAATTTTTTCATTCATCAGTAAAAGTTTTTTCACAGTAAAAGTTTTCGGGCATCTTCTACAGCCAGTCACTGGCCTGGGGACCACATTCGTGAGCAGGAGAGACCCTGCCTTGCCTGCTTGAGGTTCACAGCCTCAAGGAGAACGACGAGATGCAAGTTTACAAGTGAACTATCAGTTGTGACGCCGCATGGGGAGTCTGCAATAGAGCACTGGCAATGCTAGCGTTTATTGAGTGCTGATTGTTTACCAGGCACTGAACTAGACCCTCTGCCTAATTGATCTCAATGAATCTCCACAACAGTTTGAGTTGATTTCATGAATGTCTCTGCTTTGCAGATGAGGAAACTGAGGCACAGAGGAGTTAAGTAGCTTACTAAAGTGACAGACGTGTGTAACCCCAAAGCCACTCTGCATGGATGAGGGTCGGGGTGGCTGCCTGAAGGAGACCAGTGGATGCTTCATATGCAAGTGGCCCTCATGGAATTGGCTGTGCATGGCAACGCCTGGCATATGGCAGGCATTCCACCAGTAGTGGTATGGCCACTATTTTAGATCCTTGCAGCTTCTGCCTCTTTGGTGGGGAGGAGGGTAAAGTCTGTGAGATCAGAAACAAGATGGCATGGTCTTGCTGCCCCCATTTCTGGCCCGTGGGAAGAGGAGACAGATCCTGTGCGGGTTCCATGTAGGCACAGGCTCTTTCAGAATGTGGTGACTCATGGGACGCATTACATTGCAAAGAGCTGATCAGGGCTGAAACTAAGATAATACAAGATGCTTGTAGGTGAATTGGGGGTTGTCAGATCCTGCTGGTGATTAAGAGACACTAAGAGATGCTGGCTTGTTGCATGGAGAGGGAAAGGGAAGCAGCACACAGAGACTTTGCTGGGCGCCCTATGCAGTGTTTATAGACATCTGGTTCTTTATCCTCCACCCCATGAGGTGGAGGAACTGCCATTATCCCCACTTTACAGTGAGGCAGTGGATGCTCTGCAAAGTTATTTGACCAAGGTGCCATGATGAGTAAACAGTGGGGCTGAATTTCAACCCTAGTTGGTTTGAACCCCAAACCCAGAGCCTTAAGCATCTGCTACCTAGTGAGGTGGTGGTTAGTATCCTATTTCCTAGCTGAATCAGCTGAGGCTTACTGGGATTAACCAAGCCATCTGGGTTTGCACAGCTAGTCAGTTGAGGGTGATGGTGGCTCAGACCAGGGTGGCAGCCATTGAGAGGTCTGTGGCTCAAAGTAGGACTAATAGGATTTTCTTACAGTTTGATGTGATCCTTGCAACAACCTTCTTTCTAATGAGATTCTTTTCCTCCTGTCTCCTCCCTCTAGTTTTTATTTATAAAATGTACATCAGACATTTTGACTCTCCTGATTAAACACCTTCAGTGACTCCTGGCTGCCTGCAAAAGATAATGCCCATCCAGGCGCTGTGGCTCATGCCTGTAATCCCAGCCCTTTGGGAGGCCAAGGCAGGCTGTTCAACTGAGGTCAGGAGTTTGAGACCAGCCTGGCCAACATGGTGAAACCCTGCCTCTACTAAAACTACAAAAATTAGCTGGCATAGTGGCAGGAGCCTGTAATCCCAGCTACTCAGGAGGCTCAGGCAGGAGAGTCACTGGAA